TTCTTCTTCCTATTTTCTTCTATCTTTGTTTTGCTTTATTCTTCTTGGTGTTTCTTGATCGTGTTGAACTCTCTCTTGGAGGATTTCTGGTTACTATCCTCAACACTCTCTCTCATAAGCTATTATCTCTATTTTTTTTTTTTTTTTTGGTGATTGGGGTATCTAGACTAGCTTGCACACACATAAACTAATCCCTTGAGTCCTGAAGTTGACGACCAGGTAAACTCTTCAGTGGTCAATCCTATTAGCGCCTGTGGGGATTTGAACTCAAGAGCTCATAAAACTTCTTTTTGCTCTTTTATCATCAAGTCACCCATTATTCCTCCCTTTCTTCGTCCTCTCTTTTTGTGGAAGAGAGTGCATAGACTGAAATTGACTTCTAGAAAGAGAGTTCGATGGAGAATAACAAGAAAGTTGTTAAATATGTTCATAATGATATCGTCTATAACATCTTTATGAGGCTGCCCCTCTAAGATGTGGTGCAACATTATTGATAGTGTCTCTTTCGTCAACACCTACGAATCCTTATGTTCTAAAGAACCTCAACTTCTCTGCGTTCCTGAGGTGGTGGATACTAAAACGATGAAAAAAGTGCATTCAATTATATATAGTATAATGATAATATTAGATTACTCTTGTGTGGGGGGTCAAAAATCACCTGGGCCTCTATCAGGCCCAGGCCTGCATCTTCTATCACCAAAGCCAAAGTCCAGCAACCTTCCATAATGGGTTTCGACAACAACCCATCAAAGGCCAAGCTTATGAAACAAGGTAAGTAGGATTCTTCCTCTTTAGTTCTATCCTGATCCATCCAAGATTTCGTATCTCGGATGAATTAGGACTCTCGCCACTAATGATGCAAGTGGATTGCGGTTGTCCTGATTCACTAAATCTCCTCCTTTGTGAATCCCAAATCCTACTTGGATACGAACATCCCACAACTACTATATAAACAGGGGTCACCCCACTATTTAGCATGGGACATTGCACCTTTTCACCCAATAGTTCTAGCTCTTGAGAGCCATACCCTGACCCTGTGGTCTCAGTTCTCTATTTAGCCACTGGTAACTAATGGTGGAAAAGCAACCCGCCCGGCCCAACCCTCGGCGGGTTGTCAGCCTAGCCCGCCACTTTGTTGGAATTGGTTGGCCCAGCCCGGCTCGCCAACCCTAACCCGATGGGTTATGTTGTGGGCCGGGCCGGGTTAACCCCATTTTTTTAATTTTATTTTTTCTTTTCTTTTCTTTTCTTTTGTTTTATGTAATTGTTTTTAGTTAACTTTCAATAATTCAATTCAATTAATTTTTTTTTTTTTTGTTAACAACTAAACATTTCAAATATTAATTCAATTTTAATACAATAAAATTGTAATATAAGAAAAATTGGATTTATTCATTTATCAAGTTACAATTTCCAAAACAACTAATTTGGGGGTTGACTAGAACCTCCCTCATCTGTATCATCTATATTACAAAATTGAAATGATTCTATTAAAGTATTGTCGACAACCTCGTATTGATCTTGATGGCGCAACTGTTCCCAATCTGGAAGACATGTGAGGACTTCAATCATTTTTTGTGAAAGTTTAGTCCTCCTTTCATTTAAAATTCTTCCACTTGCACTAAATGTTTGTTCGGATGAGACAGTTGAGATAGGAACAGTGAAAACATCCAAGACAAGTCTTGATAATACCGGAAAAATACATTTTTTGGTTTTTCAATATTCTAAGACATTAAAGTTGGCTATTTGTTGTGGTTCTTCTAGTAACATTTCGGGTAGGGATGGGCACGGGCTGGGGCAGGACCGGGGACCACTGTCTCTGGCTCCGGCCCAAAAGCCCAAGGGGATTCCCCGGTCTCGGCCCCGGAATTCCTCGTTTGGGGGTTTTTTGTATTTTTTATCCTTTGTTTTATAATTTTATTATTCTTTTCTCCAAATTATATATACCAACCAAAAAAAAAAAAAAATTAAATATATAATATACATATTAAATATAAAAATCATCATACTAAATTGATAATATATTACAGTATCAACTATCCACATCAGTACTTCAGTAGATTCAATACATTACAGTATCAATTATCAAGATTCAACAACCAAAAATTTTTGGATTCGCTATTATAATCAATAGCAAATCCAAAAATTTCTATTAGGGTTGGCCAAAATAAAAATTAATTACACATTAATATTTTTTTCAATTAACAATTCTATTAGGGTAGGGCAAAATCCAGAAATTATACATATTAGTATTTTTTTTGTTCAAATGCTCACCCTCAAGTCCTCAAGAAGTATTGGATCCGCCCCTGATCAATGATTATAATGAATCTAAATATCAAAATGATAATTATAATATGTTATNTTATCATGTTAAAAATTCATGTTATATAACAAGTAGATGTTCAAAATTTCAGTTCTAGAATATGAGGTATAATTTCCATAATTATCATATCAATTCATTACAACTCAATTTAGTCAACCCATAATATCTGAATTAATCAGAGTTCTGTATAATTCCACAATTATCGTGTCAAGACAATAATATGCGCACTCGCCAACTCATTATATGCTTATTATAATACATCTTTAAACTGTAGGAGTGAGGATGGATAAAGGGTAGAACCGGAACCGGTGAGTAGCCATTCATCGGTTCTGAAAAATTGGAATCGGGAATTCCCAGGTCTACTTTTAGTTCCTGCAGTGCTGTAATCGAAAACTGGAACGAGAACCAGAACAGAGGTCCAGGTACTCAAGTAGGAATCAGGACTAAATTATAATTTTTGTAAACTACTAGGGGTGTATTGTCATTTTTTAAAAAGTAGGTGGGTAATAAAAATTCATCCAAGTACCCAGAATCGGAACCAAAACCTATGTTTCAGCTTGCGGTTCTAATTCTAGTTCTGATTCATTTAAAAAAATACACGGTATTTGAAACCGCCCGCCCCCTATTTTAAACACTAGTAATTATCGGATTTTGGCTCATAGACAAATCAAATGCATCAAATCTCATCTGAATGTGAGGAGCCTTCAAAGTAGTATATATTATTCAACTATCTAATCATGCAATAAGAAAATTAAGATAGATAGATAGTAAACCCAAGAGAGATAATTAATGCCCAAAAGGGCTCCATTGATAAGATAAATTCAATTGTTAATTAGGTCATAATACTGTATTCCTTTCTAATTAGAGTCACTTGAAGATAAAATCATTAAGTGCATTTAGTATTATTGAACATGTTGATCACTACTTCTATTACCATAATAGTTCGTCGGTATCGTATGTTATAAGAGCATCTTCAGTTGTGCTCTTTATTTTAAAGAGTATCTTTCATATAAATAAAGAACATCTTTATTGATTTTTAAATATAAAAAAAAAAATTTTTATTCAAATCCAATAGACTCTTTAAATTTTAGAAGAAATAATATGTATTTTCAAGAAAAAAAACTTAATAGGAGAGATAAATCATAAATAAAATGCATAAAAATTTGCAATTTATTATTTAAAATTATGATAGAGAGTTAAATTTGACTCTCTAAATGTAGAGAGTCAAATCTATTCTTTAATTTATATTTAAATAATAAAGAGTCTATTAGACTCTTATTTATATAGATAACTCTTTATAATAAATAGTTAAGGTCATATAAAGAGTCATTTGAAGATGCTCTAATACTCTTCTTCATCACTTAAAACGCATTCAACAGTTAGATTATTTATTAAAAGTCAATTATTTATTTTAGGCATATATTTTTTTATTTAGATGTAAATAAAATCTTCAAACTTTATGATATATTCATTTTCAAAAATATTTTTTTCCCCAAAACTTTTTTTTTTTTTTTTTTTTTATGATCAAGGTGTCCAGACCAGTATGTATGCATCTCAACTAATCTTTTAGGATCTTGAAACTATCAACCGAGTAAGAGTTCTAGTGACTAGGGGTGAGAACTGAGTTGAGCCGCTTGAATAGCTCGATTAAGCTCGATTGAGCTCGAAAAACTCGATTAAGTTCGATTAAAACTTGATTAAAGCTCGAATTCTAATTTTAGGTATTGAGTTCAAGTTCAAACTCGATTCCTCAGACTTGGTCAATCTTGAATTTGAACTCAAATTTAGTATTGTAGCAATCAAGTCGAGTTTGAGTAGCAGATACTCGACTCGACTCTACTCGATTTCACCTCTATCAATTACCACCCTTGTTAGCAGTTGTCAAAACTCGAGCTCGGGTATTCTCCAAAAATTACTGCATAAGAGATTGGAGAATCCTAGGAAGAGAATGAAGAGTTCAAGCACCATCTAATTTTATTTATTTTGGTAAACTCACAAGAAGAGAATGAGCAAGTGAAGCCGCGACCTGTTAGTCATGGTTATAACGCAACTCTACTACTAAGATCATTTCCAATCACAAACACTAAATTAGTGTAACTCTCACACCAAATTGGTATGGTTTTTGGTGTATTTCACTATTGCATCTCCATCTCATTGCATTAAATATTACATCAAAAAGAATATTCCTTAGAATATTATCATTTTTTCTTTCTATTAATAATCAACAATTAATTCAATTTACTAATTATTTTTGTATATATTAATTAAATATTAGAAATGACATTTTCATTAAATAATAATAACTTTGAAAATTATACTAATATAATAAAATTAAACATTTATTGAGAATTATATTTTATTTTAATTTTAGTGTTTTTAAATTAATGTTAATTTATTTTGAGTTATTGTAGTTTAATATTTGTATTGAATGAAATTTTGTTTTTAATTTTTCATTATTTTTTGAATTATATAATTATTATAAATTTATTATTATAAATAATAATATAAATAATAATTAAATTAATATAAATTTAAATTTAAAAAATTAAATGATAAAAATAAAAAAATAAAATATATTTTAAGATTGATAACTAATATCTTAATAAATTGATGTGAACGAGTAGTATTATTAATACCCAAAGCGTTATTGTAAGTTTGTAATGCTTCACTCCCCGGAGTCAACCTACACCACCAAGCATTTCCTCTACCTATAAATACCCGTCTCCTTTTCGTCCCTTTTCCTCTTATTTCAAATACAACACAATCCTTCTAACTCACCCACTGTCTGTAAATCCTTCACTCGTTCTCCTTCTCAACATCACACTCTCACTAATAACAATTAACTCAACTCTGTCCTTCAGTGGCTACTTTCGGTTCTGCCGCTGCTGCTACCAATCACAACCCTAACAAATCCTTCGAGGTTTTTATTTATTTATTTTTTATTTTCAGCTTACTTTTCAAAGTTTCTTTGTGTAAATATTCTTTAAGATCCTTACATATGTTATGAATTTATTATTATTGTTGCTTGCTTGTTTATAATTTTTCTATTAATTGTGTTAGTAGATATTGCGATAGATTTTTTCTTTGGTTAGGTTAACCAAATATTAACTGTTACCAGTTAATTGTGGTTAAAACTTGGTGTTATTGCTTCTTACGGCTTAATTGTGAGCCGAAACATTCTTAATGATACTTCCTAGTTTGTTTTTCTATTATCCCAAGCATGTGTCAGCTGATTTAGGGCTATCATGAAGGCAATAATGTTAGCGACATTACTTACAGCTCCGGAAGCGTAATAATGCTTGTGCTGATACGACCTTTGAGCAAAAATACAAGATTTTGTGGCTAATGCTATTTATCAGAGGCAGCATTGTCGAAAAAGCTAAATTCTAGGAGAGAATTACATCCATGTGTGATTTGTTAAAACAATTATTTAAATCCTCAAGTACGTAAAAGCGATATGTAGAAATTTTGGCGTTTTGTCCTACAAATGTTAAACATATTTTAGGCTAACGTGTGATGGTACATCACACTAAATTTAAATAGAAGTATTGTGAAAAACTTAGGGTTCAACTTATACATTCACTGTCTATATTAGTATGAAGTTTATTGTATGTGAAGTTTGGTTCCTTGATTGAAGCTGCATTTGTTTTTCACATTTCTAGTGGATTCTTGAGTGAGCTCTGATGACATTTTAATATATAGGTTCTGTGAAGAGAAAAAGATTTATGTGAAACATTTGAATGTCAGGTGGCTTAACCTCCCAGTGATTCTGTTTTGAGCCTTAGTTTCAGTCCCAAGGCCAATATCTTGGTTGCGACTTCATGGGATAATCAGGTTTGTGGATTTGTCTCTCTTTTGTACAGTCATGTCTTCCTATTTGTTGGTTAACATCTGCTGTATTCACATTTATTACAATTGAATGATATGGCAGGTACGTTGTTGGGAAATTTCATGCAGTGGAGCTAATGTGGCTAGTGTTCCCAAGGCATCAATTTCACATGACCAACCGGTAATTTTTAAATTAAATTTATTGTTGTTACAAATCCATGTTTCTGTTGTGAAATTCAGCATTGCAATTTATAACTTATTTCTGTCTTTCCATTTCAAAGGTTTTGTGCTCAGCATGGAAGGATGATGGAACTACTGTCTTTTCTGGAGGATGTGACAAGCAGGTGAAGATGTGGCCTCTGCTGTCTGGTGGTCAACCAGTAACTGTGGCCATGCATGATGCGCCAATTAAAGAGGTTGCCTGGGTTCCAGAGATGAATCTACTTGTCACTGGAAGCTGGGACAGGACTTTGAAGTAATATTTTCTCTCCTTTCTCTTCGTTTGTCAGTCCTGTGCTGTTGTTTGTTTGGAACTTGTTGGATAACTAGTTTAGATTTATAACCAAGAATGTGAATTTTTTCTCATACTTTAGGTTTAGGGCTTGCATATGTTATAAGTCCACATTCTACAGGAAAGTAGCCTCACCTACTTGCCAAATTAGCTGATGTGTGAATCTAGAGAGCTAAATCTAGTTCACACGACCTTAAAAGAAGTAATGATCATATAATAGTTGTATGATCTGTTTTACATGGTGGGATCAAATAATTGAATTCCTTTGTGTGGAAGGCTGGTGGTTCCACTTGATGCATGTTTTGTTCTGCTATTTTAAACCGTACGAATACTTTTGGCAGTGAAAGAGGTGGGGATGGCAGGGCTTGGACCCTCAAACTGTTGGAACAATTTTCCACTGCTTATATAATTACTAGTTAATAAAAGGAAAAGGCCTAGAATAAGAGTTCACATTGTAGGAAGCGTGTCTCTCTTGCTCTCTTTCTATCTCTGTGATTTCTGGTTTATTTATTTATTTTTTTTTTTGATAAATGTTAAGATTTGGTTAATGCAATTTATAGCTTCTCCTTGTGACAGCCATGTGTTTTCGGTGCGTGCTGTTTATGGTTTTACATGCATCTGTTTCTTGTATGCCATAACTCTTGCATATTTGAGTTCCTTGGGTGTCAGTTGTTGATTGGTGTTTTTGATGTGTCCAATCTATAATTAGGTACTGGGATACAAGACAGTCAAATCCTGTGCACACTCAACAGCTACCTGATCGCTGCTATGCACTCACAGTGAGGCATCCCCTGATGGTTGTTGGCACTGCAGATAGAAATCTAATTGTCTTTAACTTGCAGAACCCACAGGTAATATTTTCTTATTCTGTAATTGCATTGTTTTATAAGGAAATTCAAACAGGAAAAAATCATTGAGGGCGGTTTAAGCATTTGGTATTTTCAATGGTAACAACTGCTTCAGTATTAGTTGCCTGCTAGTGTAATTTCAAATTTTATTTTTTAGGCATCTTATTTAATGTGGCATTGGAACATGTAATTACTAATTGATTTCTTCAAACTAAAAGTTATTCTTTTGGGTAATCCATTTTTTATCCTATATAAAAGCCTTATGGAGGTCCTTAAATTGTTAGGTTTTTTTGTTCTGCAAGAGTTTGGCTGAAAAAGAGTGATTTCCTGTTATCATTGTGGTTGTCATTCTCATTTTTTGTTTACAATTTAAAATAAAGTCTTTTATAATATGGTATTCTTAGAAGAGTTTGATTGTTGTAATTTCTAAGTTAATCTTGATGATATGCCTGCAATTATGTGTTCTTCATCTTTCCTTTTCCTTTTTTTTCCTTTGATAAGAATGTTCATCTTTTCAATTACCCTTGTCTACCTAAATGTTTTTAATGTTAATTAGTTCTGTGTTTAACTTGATAGTATTAGACACACAATTTTACTCCTGCATTATAATAAAATGAGATACATATTGAAAGCTGCTGATTCATTTACCCAATTTAGATGCAATTTTATGGAAGGGTGGATGTAAGATATCTCTTCATAAAATGCCAAAGAAGTTAAGAGGATGTGACATATTGCTTGCATTACAATGTGCTTTATAGATACATGTTTGAATATGAAAATGTTTGAGTGGTAATGAGTTCTTAATTTTTGTTGGGATGCCAGTTGTCTGAGTTTGAGATTACTTATGACCATCTGTTATGAATTTGTTTAATATTGTTTAATGCTAAGAGGCTGAATTTAAAAGAATTCCTTTACCCCTGAAGTATCAGACAAGATGTGTAGCTGCCTTTCCTGATCAGCAAGGTTTTTTGGTATGTATTCAGTTACTTTTGGTTGCAGTCATTCCCCCCCTTGCCCCTCCTTTTTTATGACCTTTATTCTCACAAGAAGTGGTTAGGATCATGGGCAATCTAGTTACCTGATTTTTAAATGAATTTTTTTTTTGGTGGCAGTTATCTGAGGCTATCTCCTGTTCCACTTTATATTTCTTTCTTTTTTTTTTTTTCCAGTGTCATCATTGACTCTTACTACTTCCTTTTTGAGCTTACTGACTTTGCTTCCAATTTTTTTTTGTCCATGTACACTATGATAGATCCGTTAGTCTGATCATTGAAAATGGTGTTTTGATCTTTCTAGGTTGGTTCAATTGAGGGAAGGGTTGGTGTACACCATCTAGATGATTCACAGCAAAGTAAGAATTTCACATTCAAATGCCACAGAGATGGCAATGATATATACTCAGTCAACTCTTTGAACTTCCATCCTATAAGTTACCTTTGTGCTTTCTGTTTTTATATGAAGTTTTAAGTATTTGGTTGACAGCATGACATTGTTACTGGTTTATTAAATTTTTTTTTTTATCACGTTGAGATAGGATAGGATGGACAATAGTTTTCTATGGAGAAATAGATTTTTTTTTTTTTTTTAAATCTATCTAGAGAATTGACATTTGGAGTTAATTTTTTGTCTATATTCATCCTTTTTTGTTGGAAGCTAAACATATCATTTGTGATCTATATTTGCCAGAAATTGTAATGCTGGAGCAGTAGTTTATTTTATTCTAAGTGTAACAGTGCAGCAGAGTTTTACCAATATAATTGCTCCCTGTTGGTTGATAAGACCACCTTTTTGTTTTTTTTTTTTTACATCACTGAAATGGAAATCTTTTGTAAATCATAGAAAAATTATAAAACCGTGTGAGGCACTGTACTTTTTACGTATATATTTCCATCTTTTTACTTCCTAAAGTTCTTAATTTATTATCTGAAATTTGTTACTGAATCTTTATGTTCTCCACACATTTTTGATGATAAACAAATCCATTAAAAAACCAATGGAAAGGGGGGTATAAAAATTGTGAACCAGCTGTTTGCTGGACCTGGAATGGATTGTCAAAAGGCAGACTATCTCCAAAAATTCTAACACATGGAGAAAAACTGTTGTAATAGCCTCTCCACACATACTTGAAATCATAACCACTGATATTAAACCTTGAGCAATGGATCAATCTGTTTAATATCAGTTTATCAATCTTATAACAAGAATTGCGTCTACTGAATCTAGGAAATACAATTATACAGGGTTCTATCAACCCCTGTTGTATGAATTTGCTTCTGTTATCTCTAGTTCCTTCAGGCAGAGGGCTTTCTAGTGCAAAATATTGGGTCTCTTTTCTCATGTCTTTTCTCTTTGAAAATTTCAGTGATCATGTGGATGTTGTTTTTGCTTTATCATATGTTATTGTTTCAGATTTGTAAAGTAGGAGATAAATATGAATATTTGTTATATTATCAACTTTGGACTCTGGGGTGAATCATTGTCTTCTGTTCCAGAGGATCTCATGTAGTTGCCTTTTGTTTGTAGATACATCACACTTTTGCAACTGCTGGGTCTGATGGTTTATTCAATTTCTTGGACAAGGATATGTTACCCTCATATTTTCGTTGCTCATATTCTGAATTCTTTCCTTACATCAAATTTCTCTCTTTTTCTCTCTATTCTTTTCTATTCTTTCTCTCTGTTCTTTCTCTATTCTTGTTTCTCACTTACTAACACGTAAGCTCAATTGGAGAAACTAATTCTGAATAATATGAATGCCATGATGCATGTGCATAAATGCATGAAGAATGCAATTTCTTTTCTGTTTTCTGTTTTCTGTTTCTCTTCTTTCTTTCTATTCTGTTCTTTCTTTCTGTGTTCTATTCTTTCTTTCTGTTTTGTTCTTTCTTTCTATGTTCTATTCTTTCTTTCTTTCTTTCTGCTATGTTCTGTTCTGTTTTGTTCTTTCTTTCTTTCTGTTCTGTTATGTGTTCTATTCTTTCTTTCTTTCTATTCTGTTCTTTCTATTTTTTCTTTTTATGCCGATCGGACTCGGTTGAGGCATGGATTCGGAACTCTGGCCATGTGAGTGGGTACAATCCTCATCTACATGCACTTCTATCGGACTGTACAACTCTTCTTTCTGATTCTAAGGCCGCTCACTAAAGGCAGAGTGCATATAGGTAAATTTTGTTGGTACAATTCTCATCCACATACACTTCTAACGAAATGTACACTTCTTTTTTATTATGAGGCCGCTCATTGAAGGTGGCGTGTATGTGGGACTATTCTTCTCTGTCACTCACGGGTTCCCCATTGTAACAACCTTCACTTCTCTTTTCTTTTTATAATTAATTATTTTCTTTCTTTTTCTTTATTCTTTACTATTCTTATGTATGTGTATGTGCATGAAACTATACTCATTTTTTGCTATTCTTTTTAAATGCAAATGTGAGAATGTGAGAATGCATTATGACATATAAAAAATATCATTAGAGAACTAGTATTTTCTTGGGCCAGAGATGACTAAGAAAATGATAGAAGATGTCCAACTGATCAAGCGTAGAATGAAGCAAGCTTAAGACAGACAAAAGAGCTAATGCGGATTTAAAGAGAAAGGATGTAGAATTTGAAGTGGGTGATAAAGTGTTTATTAAGATTTCCCCCTACAAGCGGGTAATGCGGTTTGGTGATAAAGGAAAACTAGCACCTAGATACATTGACCCTTTGAAGTGTTACAACGAGTGGAAAATGTAGCTTACAAATTGACGCTACCACCAAATATGGATAGAGTGCACAATAGTTCTCTTGTATCAATGCTTCGAAGGTATGTCAGTGATCCTTGTCATATACTAAAAGTAGAAGAAGTAGACTTAGAAGAGAATCTCGTTTATGAGGAGCAATAAGTACAGATCTTAAACAGAAAAATTAAAGAGCTTTGAAACAAAAATATTTCACTAGTAAAAGTCCTATAGAGGATTCATAAGGTAGAAGAAGCAACATGGGAGGTGGAGTAAGATATGCGGAACCACCACCCTGAGTTGTTCGTTTGAATTTTGAGGACGAAATTCTTATAAGAAATGAGGGGAGGGGAGGGGAGGGGAGGGAAGGGGGGGAGGGGGAATTGTAACGCCCACATCGAGGTACGTAGCTTTACGTATTCCCTAATACCCTTAGTTGAATTTTGTTAAAGGTATCTTGAACAAGTGTGAAGAAAATGTCTTAAAATTTTATTAGGGGTAAAATGGTCTTTTCACTCATAATTAGTTGAAAAAGTGGGGAGTGAAAAGAGATAGAATTTCATAGAGAAGTTAATAGAAATGAGGGCATTATTGTAATTGACCAAAGGACATAGATAGAATTTCATAGAAAGTGCAAGGGCAAAATGGGAAAGTAGAAGTAATAAATGAGATATTTGGAGTTCATTCTTGAAAATTCTGTCATTCTCTACTCCCTCACACGCCACTTTCATCTCGAAATTCCTCATTTTATTCATCAAATTTCTAAGGCAATTGAGAGGATTTTTGGTTGGATTTTGGTAGACATTCAATCCTAAGCATCCAAAGGTAAGAGTTCTTGCAATATGATGTAAGATTAATTTTTAAAGTGTTGAATTCTTATAGTTATATGCTTAGGGTTTAAAAAGAAGATGACCCAAAGAGAGAGTTTCTAGTGTAGAACTACCTAAGATCAAGATAAGTAAATCCAACCCTAAGTTTGATTTGAGTAAGTTTGTAGAGATTTGTATATGTATGTATGTGCTTATGTTTTTGATAAGTTTTGATGAGATTGATACTTGATGATAATTAAAATTCAGCCATGAGAATGTATACTTTGCTTATATGGTGATTGATGGAAGTTTGATTGAATTTAGAAAGAGTTTTGAGTAGACTTTATGGAGTATATTTTCCTAGCTAGGTTTAGTGTTGATTTAATGGAGTTTTGCTCAAAATATTGGTGGCTTGAGAAAGAAGTAGAAGTGTATCCAAATAGAGTTTGAGTAATAAATATGCATGTAATTTGTTTGATGAAAATCTTAAGAGAAAACATGTTACCATGGTTGCCCTGTTACAACCATGACCTTTTAAATGATTTTTGTGCATCTTACCGATTGAATTGGGTTGGGATATAAACATAAAGGTTGTAGCACTGTCTTTAAGCTTTAAAACAAGACTAAAATCGTAGCTATCTTAATTGTAGACTGATAACTGTTATTATAGACAAACTCCACTAAAGGCCAATTTGGTACCCAAGTTTCTCTGTAAACCAGTCCAAAAAGCAGACACGAATCTAGAATCTCTATCTGACACTATTGTTTTGGGTACACCATAGAGTCTAACTATCTCCCTGACATAAATCTAAGCCAGCTGCTCTGAGGTAGTCCTTTACTGGAAAAAAATGGGCCGACTTCGTTAATCTGTCTACTATCACTCATATTGCATTATACCCCTTCTAAGCTCTTGGAAGGCCTGTAATAAAATCTATTGATATACCTTCCCATTTCCATTTAGGAATGTTGAGTGGTTGAAGTAAACCTTATGGTCTTTGGTGTTTTGCATTCACCTGTTGACAAACCAAGCACTTAGTCACATAATCTCCAATATCTTTCTTCATACCTAGCCATCAATAATTTTTCTTTAAATCTTGATACATTTTGGTTCCTCCAGGATGAGCAGTGTATGATGTTTCATAAGCCTTCGCAAAAATCTTCTTCTTTAACTCAACATTTTGGGGAATACATATACGATTCTGAAAACGGAGGACACCATCTAACAGGTGAAATTATGATATCTTGACCTCAAACACTTGCTGACTTATTTTCTGACACCATTCATCAACAACTTGTTTTTCTTTAATCTTGTCCAGCAAAGTAGGTTGAATTTCTAACATGGCAAGCCTTCCCGGTATCACCTCTATCTGTTCCTTTACCAGCTCTAACCATCTCCTTTGCCTCCTATTCAGCTCCCTTTGGCTGAAGAAGTACTTCAAGCTCTTATGATCCGTACAAATGTTGCTCTTTGCTCTATACAAATAATGCCTCCATATTTTTAGTGCAAAAACTACAGTAGTCAACTCTAGATCATGCGTAGGGTATCTCGTCTCATACTCTTTCAACTGCCGAGAAGCATAATATATTTCCTTACCCAACTGCATCAATACTGCACCAAGTCCCTGAAATGAGAATAGAAGTTGTGGTCAATCTTCTCTTTAACTCTTAAAAACATTGATCAAACAATTCATCTATGCGAGGTAACGGGTACTTATTCTTCACTTCACTGTCACTTTATTCAACTCTCTGCAACCTATACACATCTATAAGGATCCGTCTTTGTTCTTTACAAATAAAATTGGAGCACCCCAAGGAGAATGGCTAGGGCGAATAAAACCGTTGTCTAAGAGTTCTTGAAGTTGTTTTTCAATTCCTGAAGCTCAGTTGGGGCCATCCGGTAAGGGACTTTAGAAATTGGTGCTGTCCTTGGTGCCAGTTCAATGCTGAATTCAACGTCTCTTTCCGGAAGTAAACCCGACAAAACTTTCGGAAATACATCTAAAAACTCCCAGACTATTGACACATTTGAATCTCTAGTTGTGGGACATCACTACTGTGCAATACATGAGCAATATATCTCGAGCACCATTTTCTTAGCATCTTTCTGACCTTTACATTGCTAATCAATATACTAAGTTGGTGGCCCTCGCCGAAATTAAACTTATCATCACCATCAAGATTAAATTTTTCTTTCTTATTCTGGCAATCAATCTCTATTCCAAAT